TTTATAGTCACCGGTATTGAACGATTCCTGGCTCATACAGTCAACCAACTTCCGGATAATAGATCTCGTTTCCCCTCCGAAAGCCACAGAGGTGGGTTTCTTGGGAATGGATTGGTTACGCTTNGCTTCTCTAACACTTTGCGGAAGACCAGTTGTTGTTTTTTTGTAAAGTGATTTATTTGGCACACAGACTGAAAATCAGGGAGGGTTGAACGATAAAGTGGAAGAAAAACGAAAAAAAATCCCCAAACGGACTCCGATCAAATCCCACAAATGGAGCCAAGGGACGATCAAAAGAGACAAGGATTCGATTTCAGTAAAAAGCATTTTTTTCATGACACACCCAATCAACCCGACCTATGGTTCACTGACTAGCGTTCTTGCTGACCGATTATGATTATAAGATAGATTATGAAGGCGATGGATGCATGTCAAAGTCCAGATGAATGGTTCAGAAATACCACAGTTTTAAGCATTTGAGAATAGCCGCACGTAGGCTGTCGAAATACTCCCCAACCAACCAACCAAAGAGCTCCAGGTTTATGTAGTCGTGTAGTCATGGTTCGAAATTATTGTCATGGAACGCAACACAGACAGTCTGTTTTCTCCCATCGGATGGACTACTCGTTACACTCAAACTGTTGTTGGAGCGGCTCTAAGATAGGGTCCAGTCTCAAGCACAGCGAAAACCGCTAATGCTGGTGTTTTCCCAATCGTTTTAACTTCCGTTTTTTCGCACATTGCAAATTGCGATGCATTTTTCATCCTGGGGCCTTTCTAGAATCTAAATATTTCAGAAGTTTCGAAAATACAAATGTGAAAGGAATCTGTACAAGTGTGCACCAATCATACGGTATTCTATTCCTCAAAAGAAATAGACACATCCGATAATGTAACCATCTAGACATTCGGTCACAACTCAACCGGATCATAAAATCAACGGAATCCGTCTTTAATTTGTACACGGAACGAAGTTGTCATTGTCATCGTTTCAAGATGAATTGAAAATAGTTTCTTCTGCGTCATTTATCACATGCATTTGTTAACGCCGACAGAACGTGAACCAGTGTGTTCTGTACAACCGTCGCACTGGCTTGTCAGTCTGTTTTCGACACACACACACACACACACACGCACGCACACAAAGCTGTTCCGATCAAATAATCGCAGTATCGGAGGCATGTCTGATTATATTTGCGAATTGAGGACTCACTGAGCCAGAAAGCGGCATTCGCCGAGGCATCAAACGTCGGGATGCCAGGCGCCGATTGACCGATAACCTCTTGATACCGTTTGATCTCTTCCCTTAGGTGTGCATGCCAACGAGACATATACACAGAGATAGATAGATAGATAGAGATGGCTGATCACAAATCATCTCACTTGCTCACTCCGAACAGCACACGCAACCGGTGCATCCAATTTAATTAGCGGCAACACGTCAAAATTCAATATTCGGTGTGCAACACTGTGACCTCGAGACACACTCGCTGCCACTCGCGCGCGTTCGAATCTGACGCCCGTACGCGATTCGTGAAATTCTCATAATGAGCCATATTCGACATTTTGGACCACTACTGACTGACCTTTCATAACACGGATGCGCACGCACAAATCCCAGATGGTGAACGGGAGCAATTATAAAGGAAAGGGAAGTGTGGTACAACGTTGAGAATAGAATAGGCGGAAGGCACTTTGAACTATTTATGATGATTGCCACAGCGCTGAGCGAGCCATCCACGATCACGTTACGATCTAACCTTCGCCAAACGGTAATAGCGTTCGATGCTTATACTAAGCCATTAGTTAACCACTTCACGTTATCGGTGGACTGAGGTATTTCTAAGCAAGTTATTTCTCGTTGGATAGATGAAAACTGGGATGATCATGTCAAGGAAAAGAGGTACAAATTACCATTTGGTAATTCCAAGGGATTCCGACATTGCGGTTGTTCTAATGTTAATCTAGATTGTTTTTTCGTAGACACATGAGAAATCAGTTCTATGTGGACTGGTTCTTCGATGATCGCGTTTGGATTACATTACCTTGTCTCTTGTTCAAGGTACATTGTATTGGTAAGTGGTGTACCCGTAAACGAGAAATAAGAGCCATGCACAAAGCCCACAAGCGCGTAACAAAAGTGCAGTTCATCTGAACTGACTGCTGGAAAGCGTTTAAGTAGTTAGTTGCTAACTTTGGTTGTCGTGAAGTTATTTTAATTATTACTCCCCTCATGGGACACAACGGGAAACCGGATGTGGTTACAGTATCGACTGTTACGTCCGTCAATCACACACGTCTCCGGGATGTTTGATTATCATTCTGAGTGAAGTGAAACAACGGATTCCGAAGTGTCTTATGTCAATCCAAATTGAAATATTGTTCACCCAAATGGGTAGCCACACACGGAAGTGTATATATATATATATATATATATATATATATATATGTGTGTGTGTGTGTGTGTGTGTGTGTGTGTGGACGTACTCGATCCCCATTTGGTCTCAAACACTCCTTGCACCACCATCTTGGCTGTTGGTGGTGTCCGTTTAGGACTCGAGAAGAATGCAAGCATATTTCGGAATGTGGAGTGTATATAAAAGTGAGATGATTATACCGGACAAACATTGTAGCTAAGAAGCAGTCCAAATTTATCTGAGCATACACCGTGCATGCGTCGACCATGATAGAACTACAGGACGACAAGTTAAACTCTCAGATTGGTGAGAATTCCTCATGCACAAAAAGTGCGGGTACATACAACAACAACAACAACAACAACAACCAATGGATGAGAGATTGTGACCAAACAAAACAAAACAGTCGGAACGAATAGAAATCTGTGCCGCAATCTAGGAATTCCGTTAACTGGTGCTGTTCACTTACCCGTTTGGAAAGTAGCATCATACACTGGTTGAAGTGATGATGCTCTAGCACGGAAGTCGAATAGAGTTCGGCCAAAGGGGACATTGTTTTCACTTGAAACTGATTATCCGTACCCCGATGGTCCAAATCGTGCGATAAACAGGCAACCATCAAGGCCAGACATTCAATATCCTCAAACAAACCTTGGAATTCTGCGTTCTGTTCGATGAAAAAATAGGAAAATAGGATTTAGTGACAGGATGGCAGTAGATAAGGAACAGGAAATGTGGAAATCGGTGGAAGAAAGTGCATATCAAAAGCACAGTAGGAAAAAGTCATTATTGACTAACAACTGACAGTTTTCGTTCACGTGTCATAGAAAAGCATACCAACAAAATTCCTACAGTCGTTAATTGCCATGTAACTGAATAACCGTTTGATGGTTGAAAACCAAGTGGGGATCTGAATGTCACTTCCCCGTGAGTTTGGACAGCACAGGCCACCATCGATGTTTCGGTGGCTGGTCTCAGATTCCATGACGTCAATGAAAGCGCACCAATGAAAAAAACCGGAAATGGCTCCATAGATGCGTGACTATGTATGATGATCAAGCCAGGGTAAACATATCCGCTAGATAACTGTCAGACCACTGGCCTGTTAGGGTGCTTCAACTTGCAGAATATATCACATAGTGTATCAGGACGGGT